TATTCTATTCTATTCTATTCTATTCTATTCTATTCTATTCTATTCTAGAAGTTTTAGCGGGAGAAGGGAACCCCACAGTTATCCAGACCTTAAACCGTGAAAAACATTAAAGGTTACAATAGCAACTTAAGTTGGAAGCCAACTAGGCATCAATGCAACTTTCACACTAGGTGTGCTATGACCAACTCAGGATTTGTCCATAGCTACTTGAGCTGCTGCATTCTGTACTATCCATTATTTCAACATTTTGTATGCTGCCCAGGAGTTTCAGGGGACTGAATTGGGAAACAACATCCTAATGCCTATTTAGCCACAGTGTTTTGTTGAGATCTAGTCCCAGGTCCAAAACGTACACTAGAGAGCCAATGTTCAACATCCATTGGAGGCACTGATGATATTCCCTAGGTGAGTGATGAAACATGCAAGCAAACATATAAGCTCAGAGACCACTAAGAACCCCACAGTTCACACCTGAGCTACAGATATCTTTTCTACTGAATACATTGGAGGGTTGTATGAACATTTTTTTTAAAAAGAAACCTTTCTGAAATATCCCATTTTTTTTCCCTGCATGACGTGAGTGAGCGTTGTTAGATCTCAAAAATCCCTGAATTAGGCCGACAGGAAATGTTTAAGTTTCCTTTGGTCCTGTTATGACTAAATTCTAAGATTCTACACAGAACATGTTTATTCCCAATTTGATTAGTCTATCCTACTGAACCATATGGGGGCATGCTGCTGATTAAATAGGCAATTCTGCAACAAGTAGCCTTGATTTATGACAAGCAGGGTTTTTTCTATCCATCTTGCTGAGCTCATTAATCCCTCAAATATAGATATGCCAAAGCTCAGAATTACATTGAGGCATAAAATCAATCTGTTTCATAATGAATAAAATGTCTGCAAAGAGAAAAGGTTGGGGGAGGCATTTTGTGCATAATGCTTGGACTGATGTGCAGTTTTGGCATAAATATATTCCTAACACTTGCTGTTGTACCTACAACAAAGATTATTTCAGGCAACTTTTTTATGTCCCAAATACCTGTGAATAGATTTGTGACTTTAAATATTAACTTGAAATGCTGTCAAATGTTTGTGGGAGTTTCAAAATCTTAACATAAAAGATTTAAATTTTGAAAAAGGATTTGCAGATTAAAACTATGGCCTAATAAATTACCATTTTCTACTTAATTTAAATCTGCAACTCTAATGAGTAGATATTAAAGCGGTGGAAATTCAGTAGAGAAGGATTTCCTGGCGTATCTGCCAACTGTTCAAACCAAACCATTATAAGGCAGACATTGCCACATTTCTTTCTCTAAACGTAAAGCCTTTTATAATTAAGTAGTTCCTCAAGATGTATTTATAACCTATTAAGCAGAGCTTGAATTGGGAAGGGGGGAAATCCCCACTTAGCTGCAATAGGAAACTGTCATTAGTTGCGTTTTATGAATGCTTCCTTCTTACTGTAAATTGGCCAAAAAAATAGTAATCTAGGAACAGTCAGCTTTATCTTGCTTTGTGTGTGTGTGTGTGTCTTTTAAAACAGTGTTCTGATGACTGAATGGGTGAGGAGAACTGTAATGCTTCTGGCAAGCCTCCTCATGGAGTCGATTTATTTGATTTATTCAACTGCCTGCACACAATCTCTATTGAAGGCAGACTGGATTATCTTGTTAGCAAGGATCTTATTGGTGGAAGATGCTTGACCGGGTATACAATTTCTGAAATGCAGATATACTAGAAAACTGATTGTAAAATACTATACATTAGGATTTGTTTTGGGTGGGAAGGAATGGGGGAATAGGAAAGGTTTAATAAATTCCAAATGTGTGCGTTAAGAATCAACAAGTTAATGGTAAGATTCTTTTTTTAAGGAACCTGAAGGTCAGGGGGCTAAGTGAAAATGAGAATTAATTCATACAAACTATCTGCATCAAGTTGAATGACCAAGTTCTCTGTATACAGGAAAGACTGAAATTAGAGTGAGAGACTGGCTATAATAGTAAATTATAATCTGGTTTGTTTCATTAGGACTTACTATTTTATGTTAATTGAGCCCTGGGGTTCACAAATTGTGGCTTATGACCAGATGCATGAACTAAGCCACTATTTCAACAAACTATAGTTAAAACATATCAGCTAGTAGCACAAGATATGAACCCATAGGAAGAGCCAGAAATAAAGAGAAAAAAGAAAAGGGCACATACGGTTTCAACAAATAGAGTTGGAGTGGAATTCAGTTATCATTGACAAAATTTCAGTTGTGCCTGTTTTAAGAGTAGGCTATTGTTAGTCTGGGTCAGTTTCTATATCAGCAATCTCCCAACTTGGTAATTTTAAGACTTGTGGATTTCAACTACCAGAATTCCCTAACCAGCATTTCTGGCTGAGGAATTCTGGGAGTTGAAGTCCACAAGTCCTATATACTGTATATTTATTCTTATAAGTTGAGTTGCTATGTGCAAAAAAACTTCCTAAAACTTCCTAAAATAAATAAATTAAATAAATAAACATAATGTAGTACATTGCAGAATGACATTCCGTTCTTCTCTGGCTTAGCTTTTGTAGGGGGGAATGGGAAGTTTTGTCACTAACGAAGATTTATTTTCTTAAAGCCTGAATTTCCATACAGGAGATGGGATGAAAATGTAGCAAACAAAAAGCTGAAGAGAAGAATTAGGCTTTTCTCACCCATTATGTAATTGAGCCTTAAAGAAATGTCTGAAAAAAAAAATGGTTCATACACCTAAGGGTGTCATCTGCAACTTGAAAAGCTGCAGAAGCTCAATTTTCTAGAGAAAGAAAACAGTACTTTTGTTCCAGCCTCTGGGAACTGCGGAAGTCTGAAATAAGTCTCTGAGGTGCTTTTCAACCTGTAAATGTGGAAAAACACTCCCACACACTTCATTTTAAATCAGATCTCTTGAGGGTTAGATACTACTTTATTCTCTGGGAATTTTGTTTTTGTTTTTAAATAACTTATCTATGCCTATTTCATTGTTGAATTTGCCTTCTGTACTATCTTAAATAGTTTTCTCACTTATAAAGCTCTGCCTAGAATCCCGCAATTTCAGGGTTTTTTTAATTGCAGGTTCCAATGTATTGCATTCCCTGTGGCTAAAGAAACTGACAGGAAGAAAGAGGGATGCAAAAAAATACAGAAATGCTAGTGTTTCCTTGTTTAAATGTGTATCAACTGTACAAAAATCAGAAATGAAAAAAGTCCCCCCCGCCGCGCAAGGATTAATTGCTCTAGGATGGTGAAAAGATGAAGCCATGGCTTAGGGAAGTCCATAGTTACCTAGTTAACAAAATACACCTTTCCTTTCTTTCTGTACACAGAGAAGTCTTCCTAGAAATTAAGAATTCAGAAATTTGTGCATGTGTATGAAAGGTATGAGTAATGAACCATTTATAGTATGTTTACGTCATCCTGAGCAATGTAAAATAATTACTTCATGGAGAATTATTTTTAAATATTAACCATCATATTTACTTGATAGACCCATTATGAGATTACAAAAATAGGCAGCCAGTTTGGCCTAATGTTCAAGTGCCAGCTAGTAACCAGAAGATTTGTGAGTTCTAATCTGGCCTAAGGCATGAAAGCCAGCTAGGTGATGTTGGGCCTTTCTCTTTCTCACTTTCTTTCACTCCAACCTATCTCACAGGGTTGTTGTTGTGAGGAAAATAAAAGAAGGAAAAGTATCAGGGATTTTTGCTATCTTGAGTTATAAAAAAAGCAAAGGGAGGATAAAAACAAATAAATAAAATTTAAAAATAACATTTCACATTTCAAGAACATGATAATATTCAAGAATATTATCAATATGTTATTCAAACATATGTGTAAACAGAAAGAAAACCTAGTGACTTGGCTGGCAGGAGAAATCCATGGATAATGAAAATAAGATAGTTGTGTGCTTTTATAGAACATTTAAAAAAAGGCATCTTCTTGAAATAGAAAGCTCTTTATGTCTTTCATTCTTAAAAGAATAATCTCATCCATCCCTAACCTTCTATTTAAGATGTTAAGCACATTTGCGTCCTTTTGTCATTGACCTAGTAAATGAATTTTGTACGGTACAATACGGTTCAGATGTCTGGCTTGTTCATACAGTTGGACAGAACCTTATAATAGAATAAGATATGAAGTTAGAATTAAAAGTTAAGCTCCCATTAATTGGATGGATGAAAATGACCCAACATTTTTTTTCCTAGGTCCTCTGTGATGCTATGTAACCCTGTAGAAGAAAATAGGAGAAAAAATGTTGCTGATTATATTGGTGAGTGCATACTCTGCACACATATATCTATTGAAAAACAAATTATAAATTTAGTTCCCAGCAAATATGCTCAAGTGATAATTAATAGCTATATCATGCAATGGTTTTTTTTTTTAATTATAGGACAGTAAAAAGCACTTGATGGACTTTGTACTTTATTTATTTACATTATCCTGGCATGAACACTCCCTGCTGCTTGTTCCTGCAATGTGCTGAGGGCATTGCCTTTGATTATTTCCTAGCCCATAGCAAAGGAAATTTAAAGAAAATGCTTTTCCTCTCTTCAGATAGGCCATGCCTCACTTCACCAAGGAGTGCTTGGTCATGCTGTTAGGCAACTGGATTTGGTCCTTCCATAACTATTGGAGATTGATCTACAGCTAGTCCTCGAGTTACAACTATTCATTTAAGAACCACTGAGTTACAACTGCACTGAAAAAAGTGGCCAGTTCTTGCACTTAACAACCCATAGGCAGGTGATCAAAATTTGATGCTTGACAACCTGCATACATTTATGATAGTTGCAGACAACTGGGGGTCATGTGATCACTATTTGTGATCGTCCCAGCTGGTCTCCAAAAAGGAATCACTTAATGACTGCTAATTCACTTAACAACTACATCTAGTACAGGTAGTCTTCACATAATGACCAATTACTTGTCGTCTGAAGTTACAACAAACCCCTGAAAAACTACCTATGACTCGCTTACTGAATTCCAATGGATTTCACACACACATATACACAGCCACATGACCGCATTTTAGATAGCTGGCAAGCAGCTCATCTTTATGACCAGTTGCAGCAATTTTACAACATTTTCTAATAATTTCTGGCAAAAAACCCAAATAGGAATGAATGGATTTGCTTAACAACATCTACATTTGCTTAATGACCACCACATTTGCTTTACAACCGCATAACTTGCTTAATTACCACTGCAAAAATTCATAAAATCAGACTAGTCGCATCAGTGCTTCAACTTACAACCATCATGATTTACAGTAGAAACTCCAGGCTCCATTATGGTCATACGTTGAGGATTGCCCGTATTTTAAGCAAGATATTAGATTGATTTTCAACTCTGCGCAAAGCTTGGTCCCAAAAGGTGAATCCATAAAAGATTAATAAACTAATACTATTCCCTATCTTGCTCAAGTGACAGCCTGTAGAACAAATTACATTAAATAACAAAAGATGAATTTTATTGCTAATATTAACATCTGTACTCTGTACATTAGGATGAAACAATATTTAATGTTGGGACATGGGATTGCAGTTTTCTATTTTAATAAACTTATCTATGTTCAGACATCCACCATATAGCTAGATGATTGCATTGTGTCTATGAAATTTTATTCAAACAGATATTCTCTTTTCAGCACAGTAAACTACAAAAGAATAACAAATATAAACTCACATAAACTGTAATGTATAAATAGCCTAGTAAATGGATGTTTTAAAATGAAATATTACACATCTTGAAAGCTTTGGTTTGGTGCCATTACTAAGAACAACAGTAAAATCAACTTATCATTCTCATTAGATTTTATCTTCTTAGTTCCCTTGCCTAACCTGATAAATAGCATATAGACAAGATTCAAGAGTCAGACTACAGGAATGTCACCTCAAATCACTATTTTGTGAGATGGATGTCTATAAAAATGTTTAAATAATTAAAGAAACATTGCAATCTCTTCCAAACTTCTATCCGAAAAGGTTTATTTTGTAAAATTTTCCAGGTCGGCATCTACTCAGATTAAGATACTCCAGGAATCAGAACAGCAATAGTAGCAAATACAGACATTCATATAGAGTATTCCTTTTTTCCTTTCTCTATTGAAGAAAATTGGTGTGTAATTCTTAAGTTATGCACAGAGTGCTCCAACAGAGAAAGAATTGAAGGGAGTTAGTTTCAAAAGAAAGTCTAGAGATACATATTTTGTGTGCATGCATGTGTGTGTACAAATAAATGGGGACAATAGGACAGGGACAGTAGGCACAATTGTGGACTTATGCACGTCCCTTACAGACCTCTTAGGAATAGGGTGAGGTCAATAGGGATAGTTTAAGGTTAAAGGAGTGGCCGTTAAAGGATGTAACAACATAATCAGGTAGTGCATTCCAGGCATTGACCACTCCGTTGCTGAAGTTGTACTTTCTGCAATCAAGTTTGGAGCAGTTTATATAGTATCACAAACCTGGCCCTAAGGGAAATTTTCCAGAACACAAGCAGTCAGATCTCCCCAAATGGAAAGAAATGTCTAGGTCAGTGTTTCTCAACCTTGGCAATGTGAAGATGTGTAGACTTCAACTCCCAGGATTCCCCAGACACCATGATTGAGAAATACTGATCTAGATAATCAAATATCAAAAGTTCAATTGACTCGGGTGATTTTTTTTTTTCAGTCTGAGTTTTAGTCCTGGGCCCTGAATTGGTGAATGACAACTGAATGCAAAGCTACCTTTTTTCCTTTGGAACATGAGTTACAGGATTTTCTGAGAATTAACCCAGCACTCTTGTTTGCAGCTTTCTATAGACATGAACTGACTATTGAGTGGCAGGCTGGCGCACATGCATGCAGGTGCAGCTCGATTTCTGTGTGCAGCAGGTTGGCATGCGCACATGCGCATGCAAATCGACTTGCTCATGTTGAGCTGCACACATGTGGCCATGCACACTGGTCTGCTGTTCATGCAAGTTGAGCAGCGCGTGTGCACTGGCCTGCCACTCGTACAAGTTGAACTGTGTGTGTACTGATCCACTGCTCACATGGCCTGGTTCCAAATAGGCCACAGCCCAGTAGTGGGCTGTGGCCCAGGGGTGGGGGCACTTGCTCTAACTAATTGACTTCCTCTGCGCTAGCAAAGTGAAGCCTGGAAGCATCCAAATTCTCTGCAGTCTAAGTGTACTTACTTAGTGTACAGCATGAATTTGTGTATGCTGGCATTGTAAAATTTCACAGATCTTAAAAACTCTGGAATGGTTGTGGAGATAGAATACTGGTTTGATTTCTTTATTAAGAGACTGGTTTAAAAATCAGAAATGTTTTCTCTGCTTTTATTTGTTTTTACAGATAGACAGACAGACAGAATGATTGAATTTGGCTAAGAATGCTGCTGCAATCAAGTATTCTATATTCTATGTATTATGTGGTTAAAGATGCTGAGCTTATCAGCTGGAAAGCTGACACCCCAGGTTCAAGACCCAAGTGCTGTACTCCAGGATGAGACCCTGTTCCTTGCCCCAGCACCTGCCCATTCTAGCAATATGAAAGCATGCAAATGCGAGTAGATAAATAGGAACCACTTCAGTGAGAAAGTAAAACCGTTCTGTACACCTTTGGCATATAGCCACACTTGACCACAAAAAACATCTTCAAACAGTGCTGGCTCTCTCAGCCAAGAAAAGGAGATTAGCAGTGTCCCATAGAATCGGACATGAATGAACAGGAAAATCTTTACCATTACCTTATTCTATTATGTGGATATCATCAATATAATTAGACTCTATATAGTTGAATATATGTGATATTGAGAGGATTTTGGGAGTCCTCCTTCAACAATGCCAGTGCTACTTTGTGATCAAAGGGTGAGAAGAAAAAGACACACACATACAGTTAATATATGGAGTGGGGGGTTGCCCATTTGCTATAAGACAGCACTATAGCACATTCCTCCAATGCTGTCCCTGATAAGACATTATGGAATAAATGGAAAGGAGGTACAATGACTGAAAAAATACTTTTGTTATGTTTTAGTTTGGATCATTTGGGGGCAGAAATCCTTGCTTGGCTAAACACCGAGCTTCAAGTATGACAGAATGTCCTTATTTTCTGAATGCAAGTCAGGATGACATAGCATCCTCTACAATTAAGATGAAGTCCATCTGAACACAGAGCTACTGTTCATAAGGTTGCCAATTACTGTTTTTTGAGGCATATAAAATAAACTTGATGCTTTATGCAAACAGTATTTATGGTCTTGCGGTTGCTTAGCAACCAGCAAGTAGCAAGATAGAGAACACAAAGTAGAACAAATAAAGGGCTACTTTTCAGTGAAAGAATCAAAATTTGTGCCATATTAAAGCTATGATCATAGTCCGTTCCTATTCCCCATTTATTATTCATACAGCTATGAATAACATAAGTTTTCCCCCTTAGTTACAGAAAAGTAACAAGTCTCTATCACAAGTTGATGAAAACATCAACTTCAACATGTTCCAACAGCACATTACTTTAAAGGTTTTACTTTAAAGATCTGATACTAGTGCAAACAATTGAAGTGCAGAATATTCATCTCACAGTCAACTCATTTTAAATCCAACTCTCTGAAAATGTAATTTGTATTGTTAACAATTATCTATTAGAACCAATAAAAATACCTGGCTGCATATACCGCAGACAGAAAAGATTTGCTCCGGATTAGTGTCATGCATAAGATTCTGTTGTAAGATTGTAAGATTTCGTTTTCTCATCTTTTTTTTAATTACCAAATTGAAACCATAAATTCCACAAAACATGGTACATAAAATACAAGAAAATGAAATCTTTGCAAAAATGCTGTGTTAATCCAACACATTTAATCTTCTAAAGATTACTGAGGTTATTTTTTTTTAAATGCTGTATATAAGAATTTAATGTAGGCAATCTAGTCATAAATCAATCCATTTAAGTTTATTCCAGGCATATGTATGTTGTCAATTTGTCCATCGAACTGGTATTCTCTATCCAGTATAACATAATAACAATGAATAGGATTGGACAAGAAATAAGGATGCAAGGTGTTCTAAGTAAAACTGCCTTTTGCAATTGACTGAGGGTCAGTGGTGGAATTCAAATTTTGTTACTACCAGTTCTGTGCGCGTGGCTTATTTGGTGGGCATGGCTTGGTGGTCATGTGACTGGGTGGGTGTGGCTTAGTGGTGTAAAATATTAACACATGATAGATAATGGAACAATTAAAAATAATAGCAAAGTTTTTTTTTCTCTCTTCCCTTCCTTCCTATTATTTTTTCTTTCTTTCTCTTTGTCTCTTTCTGTCTTTCTCTCCCTTTCTTTTTCTCTCTCACACACACCACACTCTTTCTCTCTCCTTATCTTTCTTTCTTTCTTTCTTTCTTTCTTTCTTTCTTTCTTTCTTTC